CTTATTATTCTTCTGATTACTATTATTTTTTCTGTTATTGTAATAACTTTCTGCCTGATCTAGTTTTATTAATATAAAATCATTATTTTGATGATTTTTATACTAATTTTATAAATAATAACTATTATTATTGTGTCTATTTGATAGATCTAGAAATTTATCTTGTCCATAAATCATTATATCATAGTAAATAGCTAACTTTCAAGCTTTTTCTAGAGTTTTTGATGTCTGATAACTGACTTCTATCTTTATAGTGGATTTTAATTCTTCTATAAAATAAGTAACTTGATCTAGATCACTCATATCTGTAACTTGGCCAACTATATTTCTGAATTTTGTGTTTTAGTCTTGTATAAATTCTATTTGACAAAAAAGATGAAGTTATTTACAAAGATATTATTGATAATGTGATAGCTGAAAGACTTTTCTTAATGTTATAATAAAATTTTGTCATTTATCAAAAGATATAACATTATCATTTGCCTTTACTTTATTGAGATATCAATGTAAAGTTGCATCTGTTAAGAAGATGACAGCATACTATATCTGAGTTTTCTCATCTTCAATTTCTTGGGTCTGGAATTTAGTTTTAACTTGCATAATCCAAACAAGCACATTTTCAGTTGGCTCTTCTGAGTATATTGATATTTTAACTGAGAGATGAGAAGAGGGCTTAGGACCAGAGAGACCATCTTCTTTAACTATTTAATTAATTCAGTCATGTTCTGCATAAATTGGACAAATTATTCTGAGTTCATTTTGACAAGATATTATTTTATTAAAACTAAAATATGTGTGTAAAGTATAAGATATTAGAGGGTGATGTTTGTAATAACCATATCTGCTATTATCAAGTTATAAGATTATTTTGTTAATAATTACAAACAAGATAAAATATGATATGAATAGTTTTAATTTTTATAATTTATGATTATTTTTATTGTTTAAAAGTATTCAGATCTAAGATAAAAGTACAGAACAGAAAGGTCATATTTATAAGAAAGAAATGAATACAAAATACAAATAAATTAATACAAATTTCTAATTTAAATTATATATAGGTTGAACAGAATTAATTAACTTAATTTGCATCTCTGGAGAGCAACTAATCATAATTCAATAAGTAATAATAATTATAAATAACCTCTTGCTTGTATTATTGAACTTCAGGTTTTGTTGCTTTTACCAGAAGAAGTCATTATTTAATTCTCCTTGTAGTATAGCCTAGCTGTAAAGAGGTCATATGCCTTGTAACTCCATAAAATTTGACCTGTGAAACTTAATCTATAATTAAAATAATCTTTGTTAATCGTGTGGTATTTTTGTTCAGCTCAACGAATAACATGTGAATTTCCTTACTCAGCATATGCTTATTGCTAATTTGGAAATTTTTCGAAATCAACTTGTGTTGGCTTTAAAAAAATTAACTCGACTGAATCAGCTAGCCGGAAATGCGCTGGCGCAGCTTTAAATACTAGGTAAAATTGGTTGATATACCAGATGTGTATTGTAATTCGAGCCTAAATGACGAAAAAGGTTAATGGAAGTTCAAGGAAAAAATTTAATCTTTATTAATACATTAATAAGTGTCGTGTTGATGACATTTTACATGTAATATATTTCACAAAAACCAAAAATACACCAATCAACATTTTATACATGTAAAATTTTTCTAAGGAACGATGCCTTCTCTCATGTGTTTGACATTTACATGTACATGTACATGCATGTATAACGCTACAAAAATTTTATGATACATGTAAATGTATTGGAGAATGCAGTATATTGCGGTGCTATGGATACAGTAGAATTCTAGAAATAACGTTTCTTTATTGAATTACCTTTTGTGGAATCACACATAATATTATTCGCCGTGCATTTACATGTACGTGTAATAAAAAAAGAAAACTACGTGTATTAGTGAAAAAGAGTGTGGATATATACATGTACTATGGGATATTGGTGACGAATTACAAAATATGCATATAAATAATATTCCTTAATTCCAAACGCAAAAATTTTTTTTTCATTCCTTGATTTCTCATAGCAACATACACAACCAACTTTATATTCCTTCATTTGCATCAAATAACCAAGTTCCTTCTTGGGGACAAACCGTGTATTCCTTAGAACTTTAGTCACTCATTTCCATTTAGTCTAGCTTTGTGAAATGACACTACTTCAACCTCCTAAATCTGCTTACAGTAAAGCTAGCCAAAAAATATGGTTCACTTATGCACAAAACGCCAATTGTTTTCAACAAGGGCTTTTAGGCCTCACAGACTCATACATCGCCGGAAACCTGTATCTCCGATTTCCCGAAGCGGAACCTCTAAAAGCTAAACGAATTGAAGTGTCCATTACAGGCACCGAGTACGTCCATTGGACCGAACAAGTTCTCAGAACTCGTTGTGTATATGATGCCAGCACCAACACATATCGAACCGTAACTTATTATGAGACGATCCATTATCTCCACGAACAACAAATTTTGAATAGATCGTTATTGCTATGGGAAAGCAAAAGTTTGAAGGATAATGGAACGTCGAATAAAAAACTTCCCGAAAAGATTACGAAAATGAATCTTCCATTCCAGCTTTCGTTGCCTGATGATTTGCCACCGTCAATGAATTTGGTAGTTGGGCGCATCTATTATAATGTGAATGCTAAAATTAAGAGGAAACGTAATTTTTGGAAATTCCAAGGTTCAAATAAATCGGTTAAGTGTAGTTGTCTGATTACACGATATAGTCCAATGCCTATGCCGGCACCTGTTCGGTGGGTCGAATGGGATAATTCAAAAGCTTGGAAACGTGGTGTGGGTTATAATATCTCGATGGCATATGATACATTTGGACCTGGGAATCCTATTATCGTGAAATTGGCTCTTAAATTCTTAAAACCGGATTCAAAAATAAAAGAATTATTTGTTGGATTGAAAGAGTATAATTTGTTTCGCGCTTCAGGAGCAACAAAACTTAACAAAGGATATGTGAAGGAAAGAAGAATACTAGGAAATCAGTTTCCAAAAATTTTGAATGCCAAAAATGAGTGGTCGAGTGTTTTGAGAATTGATGCGTTAGACAAAGTTAGTTGGACTACTGAAAGATATCACATTAATGTGTATCATAAAGTTAAAATTAAGATTAGGTTTGGAATTTTTGGACCAAAAAACGTTAATTTAGAAAGAAAGGTCAATATTGAGAATATCGCGAATGTTAGTAATTATGAGTATAAGAATAGTGAGTGATTATATACAGTACACCAAATGCACTTTTTATCTTTTTTCTTGATCTCTTGATATTTATATGTTAGACTAGCATATACATGTATATATTTTATATATATTCTCAATGATGTAGTCTGACTATTTTTTGCTATAAATATAATACATCATGATGTTTAGATTTTAGATTTTTCTACGCAGAAACTCACCAAATCTTTATATAATATCTTGTGGCTTCAAAAAAATTGTTAAGCGCGACAGCTAGAAATATTACTGTAAAATTTTTGCTAATGCAGAAAATAGGGTTTCAGGCAAGATATTGAGGTACAAAGTGACTTTTATTATTGTAATGTATTAATGTAAGCGTGTTGGGTCTACCCCAACATCCCGACACCTAACTTCCCGAAAATCCAACATCTCGACATACCAACTTCCCGCCAAATCCAATTGTCAGAAATTGACCTAGCTTTTTTGGGAAGTTAGATTTAAATTTTGAGAAGTTGGGTTGTCGGGAATTTGGATTGTCAGGATGTTGAATTGTCGGGAAGATGGGTGACGGGAAGATAGGTATCGGATGTTGGGCAACACCCTGCGTGGTTATTTATGAAATGTCAAAATTGATTTTTGAATTAATAAATTTCAATTGTTCACATTGAGATTTTGTGGGCTCTGTATTGTTTCTCAATACGAAACAATAGAAAGTTTATAATCAACAAAAATTGACTAACGCTCGATAGTACATATTGTTACGCCTATCCTTTCTATTGGATCTCAAAGATAGGTGGTGTTGGAAAATTGAGGGAGATTTAACCCGATGAAAGAGAGTTTCACTAACTGGTTTTCTAAAAGTATTGTGCCAGTGACTACGGTTACTGTTGGTGATTGTTTGAAAGATGCAAAGAAGATTATGCTGAGATTAAATGAAATTCTAACAATAAAGCTTAAGTCGAGAAAAGTTTCCCAAAGTCACGAGTGGAATATTTAATACGGTTATCCTATTCTAAACGGAAAATCAAATAACGAAACACTGTACTGGCTTTCTTCTGGTAAAACTCGAAATCGACAATATAAGGAAGAGTAATGCTGTTTCAATTCCTTTGAACTTTTATAACTTGACTAAGGCTTCCTATATATATATTGGTTTGGGTACATGATGTGGTCTATGTTTTGAAACAATGGGTTAAAGCTATACTAAAAACTGTTCTATTCTTACGAAATGGTCCAAACAATGTACTGAATGGTCAAAACAATGTACAAATATTCTAAAGGTTTTGTATTATCGTAAAACTATAAAATTATTTATTTATTTCATAAAATACAATATATACCTGTAACAAAAAACCATAAAATATGAACATCGTTAAATTTGATTTGTTGAACGTGACTTGAGACGACGCATAATATAAAAATAGTATAAAAAACTTAATATTTATTAACAAATGTTGTATTTTTCTAAATAAAAAATAAATTACCTCCAAATGCCTACATATTAAAGAAATATCCGAGCCCAATTCTATTATATTTGTGAAATAAAGGAATATATAT